TCATGGATAGACTGTCAAATGCTAATAGAATCATAAGTGCAGATTTCATAACTGCTTTTGCAATGAGTTGATGTTGCTTGGGTTTTGTATTTTATGTTGTACTTAGTACAAAAGCTACTTTTTTTATGTTATAAAGAAATAGCTAGGGGCCGGGGCACGGTGGCTCACGCCTGTAATCCTAGCACTCTGGGAGGCTAAGGTGGGAGGATTGCTTGAGCTCAGGAGTTCAAGATAAGCCTGAGCAAGAGCGAGACCCCGTCTCTACCAAAAATAGAAAAAATTAGCCGGGCATGGTGGCTCATGCCTGTAGTCCCAGCTACAGGCTGAGGCAATAGGATTGCTTGAGCCCAGGAGTTTGAGGTTGCTGTGAGCTAGGCTGACGCCAAGGCACTCTACTCCGGGCAACAGAGTGAGACTCCGTCTAAAAACAAACAAACAAAAATAAATAGCTGAAAACATTCGGTCAATAGACTCTGACAAAATGTCCCAGAAACACAATAGCTCACTCAAAAAAGGAACATATTCCTATAAAATAGTTTCCATAAATCAAACTTATATGAATATAGGATGAATATATAAGAATGCAAAGCAAGAGTTCTGAAGAGTCATATTATGATAGTAGTAGCCTGGGTTTTTTGAACACTTACTTTGTAGCAGACATTACTTTAAGCTCTGTATGTTATTAACTCACAGAATCAACAAGAAACCTATTAGGTAGGTACCACTTTTATCCCCAATTTACAAATGAGAAAAGGAGGCCAAGAAAGATGAAGTAACTTACTCCCACAGCTAGTTAGTGCTAGAGCCGGGATTTGAACTTGGGCAGCCTGGTCTGTGTTCTTTCTTAATCACTAAGCGTCCGGGGTGGTTAGGTGGCCTTTGTACTTGACACTCTGCGATGTATTACTAAAGCATTTCTGTTTGTACACTTGATTTCTTTGGGATCTTCAGGGAAATGTAACTATCTCCTCAAGGCCAGACTTCCCTAGAAGACATGGTGACTTGCACCGACAGCATACATATGACTTATGCTCCACATCTTAGATTTTAGAATGCTGAGGCAGGAAGTTTTTGTGTTCTAGCTGAAATTCTTCACACCTTTGAATCTCATGATTGGTGAGGATTTAGAGGTATATAATAAGATAAGCCAAATGTTTCAAAGGGAGTTAAAACTGTTTAATGTAAATGCAGCCCAAGAAGGACTTCACTGCCAGATAAACAGGTGCAGATAACAGGCCTATTTGTATGCATGAGAAGGTGGCTTGAAGCTGTTGATGGTGGTGATGATGGCTTGCATTCAGCACCCACTGTGCGCTAGGCAGTTTTCTCAGTGGGATACAGATACCAACTTATTTACAGTGAGCCAAAGCAGTCGCAGTCTAGCTTTTAATATGTCAGAAATGGGACACATGAGCCCTTTAGGAATCCTGAGAAACCGATAATAAGGACATGTTCCCAGGAATGGTTAGTGAGGGGATGAGAAGGGCCCACGGAGTCCACCCCTTCCTAGCTGTGTGAACTTGGGTAACTAACTTAACCTCTCTCATGCTGTTCCTCTATGTCTAATACGTGTAACTGACGACTGTTCCTGCCACAAAGGTTATGAGAATTAAATACATCTGCATAATACGTAACACAGCTCCACAAATGCGAGTTGCTATTGTTGTCACCCGTACTATGCCTATGTGCCTCTGACGATTTTCCACCGCGGGAAAGCCTCGTTTTCTTTCTACTAGTAACTATGGTATGCTGAGTAGCTCACGTCCCTCAGGGCAGTTATCAGCCCGCCAGTCCTGGGCCGCGGGGACCTGCGCCGGGAGCCCTTGCGAGTGCTCGCGGCCGCAGCCGGGGGAGAGCGAGCGGGGAGAAGATGAGGAGGGATGGAGCGAAACCGAGATGAGAGCGGGGCAGCAAGGAGAGAAGCAAAGCGCAGCAGAACAGAACTCGCGCCTGACACGCGCCCTCTGCGCTCTGCATTTCTTGGACCTGCATCGAATTGTTTTACTCTCCGGCACCGCCTGTGCGCCACCCTCCTGGCGGCGCGGCCAGCTGGCCCCCTCCCTTCAGTGCGCTCCCTTCCACGCTCCACTTCGGACCCCGCCCCGCGATTGGCCGGCCCGATCCGGGGCTGTCGCCGATTGGCGCCCGCCGGCCGGGGCTGCGCGGTTTAAAGAGGGGGCGGGGGTGCGCTGCCCAGCAGCGTTGCTGTCCCGGCTGTCGCGCCGTGCGCCCGCCGCTGTCCTCGCCCTGCGCCCGCCGCTCGGCCTCAGCTGAGCTCGCTGCCTCCACCTCGACTGCCCCGCCTCGGGCCGTCGCCCGCCAGCGGCTCGCGAGAGGTACCAGGGCAGGCGCTGTCCAGCCCAGGGCCGGGGCACAGCCGTGAGGGACGAGGCGCGGGGACGTCCTGGCGGCCACCATGGTGGCCACGTGCCTGCAGGTGGTGGGCTTCGTCACCAGCTTCGTGGGCTGGATTGGCATCATCGTGACCACATCCACCAATGACTGGGTGGTGACTTGCGGCTACACCATCCCCACCTGCCGCAAGCTGGATGAACTGGGCTCCAAGGGGCTGTGGGCTGACTGCGTCATGGCCACGGGGCTGTACCACTGCAAGCCTCTGGTGGACATCCTCATTCTGCCGGGTAAGGACCCCGACCTTGCAAGAGGCTACTCCTACACCCGTGTCGGCTGGGTTAGACGGCGGTCGTAGAAACATTTTGGGGGCTCGAAGTCCTTTGGGCATGGTTTTGACAGACCCAGTCCCAACTTGGTGTAGAAGAACTAGGCGGCCCTGAACTTAACCTTTCTCAGCCTCGGTTTTCTTATCTGAAGTTTGAGATAATAGTGGTAATTTGGCCAGTGGTAACACTAGCCAAGTCGTCTTGAGAATTTAATGAACTGAGACATAGACACTTAGTAGGAACACAGTCCATGTTAATTACCACCTCCCCCTCCCCCCTCAACTGACCAGAAGTACTTCACTGCCCTGCCCGGCCTCCCCCTCCCGCGGGGCCTTGCTTTCCCGTTACATTCCATCCGCAGAGGTGAGAAGAAGAGTGAAACGCAAACTTTCGGGAGATTGGAACAGACTCAGGCTCAGGTTCCCAGTCCTAGTGGGATGGCCGAGGCGCCCTGCCCAGGTTAGGGCCCTCCTAGCTCTGCGCTACCGGTAGCTGAACGATTCACTTCCAAGGGCGTCTCTGGGCTGCCCAGTTTACCGAACCTGAGAGTTGGTTCCCACACGTTCTAGGGTCTGTCTTAGCTTTCCTACAGCCCCCTGCCCCGCACCACCCATCCCCCGCCTGCTGCGGGGGGCCGTCCAACCGCGGAGCTGCAGGGACGTCTGTCTCTGGCTCCGCGCCACTCGGGATGGATTAGGAAGAAAGAGCAGGCAGACCACTGGGGAGACGCAGCGCGCTGAGGGTCGCTCACCCATCCCCCAGCTGTGTCTCAGACTGCGGGGAGGAGGGAAGAACTGACAGACCTTCTCCTTTCCCAACGCGGGCTGGGGGCCACATTTTCACCTGCAGTTTTGATTCAGATTTAAACCAGAGGCCAGTTGGGCAAATGGCAAGGTTGCGGGCACCCCCTCGGGTTTTCTGCTGGGAATCTGTCCTGCCCAGAAGGCTTATCCCTGCCCTGGCTCCTACAAGGTTGCCTTCTGTCGTCCTGGTCTTTGTGAGTTGTGCGCATTTAAGAGCATGCCCCGGTTTCCTGAAGATGGGGAGAACCTGGCCCCGAAGCTGCCAGTCTGGGAGCCCTCCACTTTGGGCCTTCTCCCAGAAGGATCTTTCCTTCACCAGAGACTCTGCTCGCCCTTTCAGACCCCTATTTCACAGTCCTTGCAGTGGGAATGAATCCCTATCCTCCTTGCTGCTCTAGTACTTGTTTCTTATCCCCATCAGGGCACGTTTCATCTTGCTTTTTGTTCACTGTTCCTCAGTCAAGGTCTCCCACTACGTTTTAAATTCCTCACATATATAGACGGTGTTCTATTATTCTCATTGCATCCTCTTGTGGAACCAGCGTCGCCTCTGGCACACAGTAGGTGCACACAGTGCTTATCAGACTTGCCCTACACTATCTTTTCCTTCACTTTGGACTTTCAGAAGGACAGAGATGTGGGGACTCACATCTGGACCCAGTTTCAATTAATGCTGGGTTGGTAGACGTGGGTCAGACTCCGGGATCTAGGGCTCACAAGCTGGACGATTTGGGACAAATCACTAACCTCAATGATCCCCAGTTGTCTTGTTTTAAAAATTAAAATCAAACCAACTACCTACCTTTCTCAATTATTTGAGGATTAAATAAGAAATGCCAACCTTTTTTGATGTAGTGCATGCTCCATAAATGGTAGCTATAATATTTTGTTGAAAGCTGGGCATGGGCTGGGCGCGGTGGCTCACGCCTATAAATCCTAGCACTCTGGGAGGCCGAGGCGGGTGGATCGCTCAAGGTCAGGAGTTCGAGACCAGCCTGAGCAAGAGTGAGACCCCTGTCTCTACTAAAAAATAGAAAGAAATGATCTGGACAATTAAAAATATATATATAAAAATATTAGCCGGGCATGGTGGCGCATGCCTGTAGTCCCAGATACTCGGGAGGCTGAGGCAGAAGGATCGCTTGAGCTCAGGAGTTTGAGGTTGCTGTGAGCTAGGCTGACTCCATGGCACTCTAGCCCCGGCAACAAAGTAAGACTCTGTCTCAAAAAAAAAAAAAAAAAAAAGCTGGGCATAGTATTTGTAGGGACCTTTGACTGAAGCATAAAGTTACTCTTTGCTTCTTTCCCCTGAAGTTAAGTTTACTGAGCATCCAGTGCCAAGTGGTTTGTTTTCAGAGAACAATGACCATCCCTCAGAAGGGAGTGCATTTTAGGGGGGGCCTAATTTCCTACTCTCTTGTCCCTCATATTTTGGGTGGGGGCAGGAACAATCCTCAGTCTCCATCTTTTGATTTGCAGATATGGCCTTGGCACTGTAGCACGTGGACAGGCTCTGTTGCTAGTTGACTGCCTCCTTTGTGTGGACACTGGCTCTCCTACAAGCTGGGAGAGCACAGGGCTGGGTCAGGGGCTGAGCTTCAGACTTCCTGTGGCTCCTCTCTGGGGGTCTTCAAGTTAGCAGATACTTAATTGATCGATCATCCTTAATTCTGAAGGACCTGAGATGGGCAGTGGTTGGGAGAGGACCCTTGTGAAGTCTGAGTTGTGGCAAAACATACCTTGCTAAAAGACAATGTTGAAGTTAAGTCTTTGTGCACAAGTCAGGGTCCTGGTGTGTGAGGAAGAAGTTGGGGCTAAGTTTTTGGCTTTGCCACTAACTCTGCCTCACCCTCTGAGCCAGAAAGGGAGAGTAATAAATGCAACCTTTTTTTTCTTTAAGAGGGGGAGCGTGTTTTAATGAGAAACATTAAATTTAAAAGGGAGCCAATAAATTTCAGTCTGTGAAATTCTAGCATCTTGTCAGACTTATTCTATATAAGTATTGCACATATTGTATTCTGTTTCTTAATGAAGTCCATTACTTGGCATTTTACTTGACAGTATAAAGTTCAGTTAGTTTTGCTGCACTCTTTTATTATGCAATTCACTACTCCTTCATTCGTAATTGTTTGTTTCCATGATCCAGCCCTGAATACCCAGGCAGGTATCTGCCTTCCAGGAGTCCTCAGGGCTGGAGAGATGTCTGTTAAGCAATGACGATGGGCAGCTGGGGAGGCATTCCCAGGGCTGCGTGGGTGAGGCAGGAGAGGAGCCCAACCCTCTACAGGGGGCAAGATCTCTGAGGACAGCAGCCTCTAGGGAGATAGCAAAGAGAGGAAGCCTGAGTCTTGGCTTAGTCTAAGTTAGGGCCATACATGATTCATACCCAATGTGAATTAAAAGCACACAGTTAGGACAAAATCACCCAGTACACTTGGAGATAAAAGTACTGCACAGACACAGACTATTAACACCGATAATAATAACTCATCTTTTTTTCGAGTATTTACTATAGGCACTGTTTTCAGCACTGCATGAAACAACTGATTTAATCTTGAGTAGAATTCTATTAGAGACATGTAGGTGCTGTTATTATTTTTACTCTGTAGATGAGGAAAGTAAGACATAGCAGTTAGGTAACTTGCCCAAGTTCACACCGGTAGGGCATATCAATAGCAGACCGGAACAAACACACTCCATCACAGAAGACATTGGAAGATTTGAGTTTTCATTTGAATGTTCCCAAGGTGGTATAATAATACAAATGGGCTCCTGGCCCCTCTGTCCTGGAGGCTTGGCCAAGTGGGTCTAAACTAGGGATCCCCATTTAGTCTCTCCAACCCCGTTTCTTCTTGCTGAGTTGCTTCAAAAGTTGAAAGTGCTTAGTGATCTTGGATGACACGTTCTAAGTCCTGAGATGGGGCAAGAGGGAGGAAGGGAGGTGGTGCTGAACTCCCATGAGGCAGGGCTGAGGAACTGAGAGGACCCACGGTTTAACCCCATCCTGTCTGCTCTCTTGTTCCCAGGCTACGTGCAGGCTTGCCGAGCCCTGATGATTGCCGCCTCAGTGCTGGGGCTGCCGGCCATCTTGCTGCTGCTGACCGTTCTCCCCTGCATCCGAATGGGCCAGGAGCCTGGTGTGGCCAAGTACAGGCGAGCCCAGCTGGCTGGTGTTATGCTCATTCTGCTGGGTAAGACAGCTTTATGGCACCACACCTCTGAGTGAACCCGATGGATCTCAAATCTGTGGTCGGTTGCTGCTTCTTCGAGTTCAAGAGACATGTGAAAGGAAATGGACTGAGTCCACTGGGGAAGGGACCCCCACAATCCATACTCCTTTGTATTTCACTGGCAGTTCACACGGAGGGATTAGTAATGTTTGGTGTGGGGGGTGGGTGGGGGTCACTGAACATGAAAATTAGTTTAAAAAGAAAAATAAAAATATTTTAAGGGCAGGAAATACCTAAGGGAAAGACCAGAAGGACAGAAGAGAGCTACGTGGTGGCTCTCTACTCAGGCTTCACAGTGGAATTCCTTTTAGCACACCTATGCCCAGCTCCCACAGCAAATCAAGTGAATCAGAATTTTCTGGGGATCAGGCCAAGCAAAGATATTTTTTGAAAGCTGCCCAGGTGATGCTCATGTGCGGCCAAGATTGAGAATCTCAATTAATATATAAAGAAAGAATAGAGAAAGAGGAGGGTGAGAGAAGAGTAAGGTGTTGAGGGTGGTAGATCACCAGGTAAGGATTCCATCTTTTATTGAGCAAGCGTTCCCTGAGCACATGGGTCAGGCTCTGTGGTAGACGCTGAGGTTACTGGGGAAAGGCAGTGTCTGCTCTGAGTGAACCTGGACATTTCGGTAGAGTGTGGTGTGTGCTCATCTAACAAAGATACATGGGCTGTGCACACAATAGGAAGGCACCTGACCTAGACTGGATGAATTTCCAATGAGTTTCCGGAGCAGAGGAACCCAGAGAAGAGCCTGTGACTTGAAGAGTAGGTGGTCAGGTCATGGATTGCAGGAAGGACAGTACAGGCCAAGGAAATGGCATGTGCTCGTTCGGTTTTGCTGATTACACCTGCACACAACAGGGCTCGATTTAACAACCTATGGAATCTCTTTAGGGATTTCATTTCTCTCCATTTTTTTTTTCTTGGATGCTAATTCTATCAGCACACTCTAAATCCTAATAGAGGATATGAATTATAAGAACAGCTGCTCTTGTTGCAAAGTACAGATATCAGTGAGAGGAAACTGAGTTGGAAATGGGTTAGACATGAAATCACATTCTCCTGAGACAAGGAATTCACATCCCCAAATTGGCACATCAGATCATGTGCTTGAGGGGGAAGTGGAAGGGGCCTGTGTGGGTCAATGCCACTTAGTGATGGTCACCTCCCACCTGGAGCCCTCTCCCACACGGTGACACCCATGAGGTGAGGGGACATGAGAGGTGGGGTGCCATTTCCCAGGATTGCAGAGGGATGGAGGTTTGCAGGGGTTTGTGAAGCCATGGATAATTCAGGGGGAGGATGTGTGTGTGTGTGTGTGTGTGTGTGTGTGTGTGTGTGTTACAGGAATGAAAAGACCACTGTAATTCCCAAAGAAGAATCTGGGCATGGAAATTTTGATTCCAGCCACAAAGAATTTGTGTGCCAGAGCCACACATGAGACACGTAATCAGTGTCCTGTGCTTTATCTAACTCACTCGTGTGGGCTTTTCGGTGGTCAGATCTTTGTGTTCAATTCCCTTTCCAACGGGAAGGCCAAAGCTCTAAAAGTCAACTGGGTTTGCAGAATCCACGTGAACCCTTCTCATCCCAGACACTTGCTGTTTTTTGTTACTTTCCTCACATTCTCACAGAAGCCCCTGAAGGCTCTCTTGGTCTCTGAGGATGGTAGAGCCAAAGGATGGGTCTGTTGTGTTAGGTGCTCATCTTTAGAAATTCTGATCTTCCATGTGAGAGTCACAGTTTCCACAAGTAAAAGAATATATTAAAACAAACAAACAAACCCAGTGGAAAATAGAGGCACAAAAACAAACATGTAGATGAATTGGTTTTTAAAAAGAAACGCCTAAAAACAACTGAATTGTTTAGTTGAATAACCAGTGTTATGAAAAAAAAAAATAAAGCAGGCTGGGCTTGGTGGCTCATGCCTGTATTTTCAGCACTTTAGGAGGTCAAACGGGAGGATCGATTGAGGCCAGGAGTTTGAGACCAGCCTGGGCAACATAGCCAGACTCTATCTCTACTAAAATTAACAAACCAGCTGGGCATGGTCCCAGCTACGTCGGAGGCTGAGGAGGGAAGATCATCTGAGTCCAGGAGTTTGAGTTTGAGCCTACAGTGATCTATGATCCTGCCACTCCAGTGCCACTTGCACTCCAGCCTGGGCAACAGAGAGACCCTGTATGTAAATAAAAAAAGCAACCAGTGGTTTGAGATTTCCTAGCTGAATTAGTTTTTCTTTATTTTTTAAAAGTGGGTTGGTGTAGATAGAATCATAGATGAGGAAGGTGAGCTGGGGCCAGGTGGTGGGTGTGAGTCCCTCAGTCCCTATTTGCCTGCCTGGAGGGAAATCATGGGGGAAACTGGGCATCAAGTGATCCGACCCCACCAAGGAGGCTGCACCTCTCTGGCCCCTCACCATTTGGATGGGATTAGGGGCCCCTCATGGCCCTTGGACAGCTTTGCATTTCCAATATCGTCTGCCTCCTCTTTGCTTCTGTCTGCATTTGTTTCTCAGCGGTTGGCTGTTGTTTTGACTGTGGAAATGTAAAGCTCATTGTCTCAAGTGTGGCACCTGTGATCTCCTCTAGGTTCTCTCACCATGGAGCCCCGAGTGCCTTGTTTTCCCCTGTTGGCAGTGGAGGGGAGGAGGAAGAGAGAGAGAGAAAGAGAGAGAGAGTGAAGGCTCCCTTTGTGTTTCTGTGGACCAGTTTCTGCCACTCTCTGGGGACAAGCCAGTGTGGGCCTGTGCTGGGTCCCAGGGTCACCGAACAGGGCTCCAGCTGAGGTGCGGCTGCTGACTAAAGGGGATGAGGCACCCCTGGGGCTCGGGGGCCTGGGAACTGGACAGTGTTATAGCTAGTCTTCGTATGAAAACTGTGAACACTATTAATTAACCTTGGTTTTTCCTGATCCTGAAAACCTGTAATTATTTTTCTGAAAGCTTAAAAAAATTGTCTGTCGTACAACTTTATCTTCTCAGCAGTCTAAGTTTAATGGTGTGAGGATTTGGTTCCTGCTGTGGGGGAAGAAAAAGGAGCCTGATGCTGCTGGCTTCTTAAGCCAGATGAGTAGCACCAGGAGCAGCAGGCTTCTCAGATCTGGGTGGATCTGAGGCTAAGCTGCTCTGTGCGTGGCCTTTCAAGGGTCCCTGCCAAGGCAGGAGGTGCCTGTGCCCCGAATTGTTTTATCTTATCAGTTGGAGTCAGACCCAACTGTACTGAATCTAGAATCTACTACTTTCTAGCTGTGTGAACTGGGGCAGTTACTTAATGTCTTGATCCTTTTTACAAAATGGGAACGATAATACCTATTTCACAGGTTGGTAAGATCGGTGAAATGATGTATGCAAATTATTTAGCATGATATCTGGCACATAGTAAATGCTCAATAAATGGTTGCTATTATTATTACTATTGTTGATTAGAGGAAATAGTGACCTAACCCAGAGGGCAATGGATATTCTTCTAATCATGATTTCTGCAGAGTCATCTTCATACATGAAACTGGTGAGGAAAGACAATAACCTTTTTTTGGAAATACCACTTTTATCCTGGCCTAATGGAAATATTTCCTTTGTTTACTTTATAGAAACCAGAGTGTGGGGATCGATAGTTAGAGTTTTTGCTTATTCCTTTATGAAAGGCTACATTAAGTTACCCTACTGAAAATCTTGAATCTTAGCTCTGATTCAGTCTCATTCTCACCTTACTACAAGCTAGAAAATACTTTATCTGGGTATTTTTAGGGATTGTGGTAGAGAATAGAACGTGAGGACGTGTACTTCCTAAGTGGAATACTTTCATCTTCTCTTCTTCCTTATTTGTGGGAAAAAGTTATTTTATCTTGGAACGTCTGGGTTAATAGTGAAATTGCAGTAAATCACAGGGTAGGTACAAATGCAGGCCACACTGAACTTGTCACACACTCAGAATCCGAAGTCCTACAGGGAAAAGGAGCCCTTGGATGCTTCCCAGTAGGATGCCTGTAATCCCAGGGCTTTAAGAGCACAGTTAGAAAACTCCTCCTCTGAACTCATTAGTTTTATACAAACAAGTCCTTAATCTAAATAAAACTGCATATGGACAGTGGAAAGGATGTGGCATGTTAGTATGATTGTGGCTAGAAATGACTTCATCAGTAAAATTGGAGGCACTAAATGCTTTATGAGTTCCTCCTGTGTCTAAATTCCATGATTAAAAAAGATTAACAAATAACGACAAGGCTGCTTTTTAAAAAGGCTATAGGGAAAAAAATGATAATGATGCATGGAATAGAAATAAAGGGAAAAATGTTGAAATCAGGCCAGGAAAATAATGTACTCAAATATTCCATTGATTTGATGATTGTAGCTGTGTTTTCTTAAGTCAACATTTTAGAGAATGGAAAATTAAAAAAAAGAAAAACTGAACATTTTTTAGTTTCAAATGATAAGAAAACAAGTAAATATGACTCCAACCAACAGCTCATTAGACATTTCGTTACTTGTTGCCTTAACTGGCTTCTTTGTGAAAAGCTAAAATTAATTGCCACTTAGGTCATATGTTATAATAGTATTGATTGTAGAAGACAGTGTTCAATATATTGTAAAATGTTAGATGGAGGAGGTCTTAAAACATTTTTTTTTTTTTTTTCGAGACAGGGTCTTGCTCTGTTGCCCAGGCTAGAGTGCCATGGTGTCATCATAGCTCACTGCAACCTCAAACTCCTGAGCTCAAGCCATTCTCCTGCCTCAGCCTCTCGAGTAGCTGGAACTACAGGCACATGCTACGATGCCTACCTAATTTTTATGTTTTCGGTAGAGATGGGGTTTCGCTCTTTCTCAGGCTGCTCCTGAACACTTGAGCTCAAGTGATCCTCCCGCCTCAGCCTCCCAGAGTGCTAAGATTACAGGAGTGAGCCACTAAGCCCAGCCTAAAAATGTTCTTATTGTGGGAAATTTCGAACCTATACAAAATTAGACAGAATAGTGTAATAACCGCCTCCTAACCCAAACTCCTTCTCTGTAACGATTCAGTCATGGATTATATGCTTCATCTTTCCATGTCTCCATTTCTTCCAGTCCCCGGATTTTTTAAAGCAAATCTCAATTTTGCTCTGTGCTGGAAATGGTGCTTTTAAAAGTCCTTTCAGTGGAAAGTGACAAAGCCTTGTAAAAAGATGTGTTCATTGGAGAAAGGAAGAAATGTCAGTGTCTGGTGATCTTGTCTTTCTCTGTCTCTTGCCTGTCTGTCTGTTGCTTTTTCTCTCTCTCTCAGTAGTTAGCTCCAAAGTCAAACATACCTGTATCAATTTTAACTTCCTCACATTTCATTTAATTCCATATATTATCGTGTCATTTAATCTCTAAAGAGATTAAAAACTACACTTCCATTTCATTGCTCTAAAATTGCCTTCTAAATCAGGTGCGGTGGCTCACACCTGTAATCCCAGCACTTTGGGAGGCCAAGGCAGGAGGATCACTTGAGCCCAGGAGTTCAACACTAGTCTGGGCAACATAGTAAGATCTCCATCTCTACAAAAAATATAAAAAATTAGCTAGGTGTGGTGGTACATGCCTATAGTCCCACCTACGTGAGAGGCTGAGGTGGGAGGATCCCTTGAGCCCTGGAGTTCAAGGCTGCAGTGAGCTATGATTGTGCCATTGCACTGTAGGCTGGGCAACAGAGCCAGACCCCCTGTTTCTTAAAAAATAAAAATAAAAAATAAATAAAATAAAATTACCTTCCCAAATATTTTCTGTGCTTGATCACATCAAGATCATTGTTAATTTTTATCAAGGGTGTATCCTACCAATTAAAGAACACATTGTATTACATTATTTGAAACTTGGTCTCAAAAGACACAAACAATTTTATGCTTTGAAGAACAAGAAATCCTACTTACAAGAGGACCAAGTCCAGGTGAATCTGTGTCTACATGGTGAATTTTTCTTCTCCCTTTTCTCCCCTTTTCTTCTTTTCCTTTTTAGCTAAGAATAACCCTAATTTTTACTTTCCGTTTTCCAAAAACAAATGGCAGATCCCCCTCCTCCTGCCCTTGTGCAGTTAACTACTACATCTTCTGAAGGTAAAAGAGGAGAAAGAGACTGAAAAATCTGAGTGCTAAAATTACTCTGTCTTGTTTTTAGAAACTTAATTTAAAAATAAATTCTGATTATGGTAAAAATAAAATAACCCAAATTCCCTTTATAGTTCTTCAATTTTCTTTAACTTAAGGTAACTATGACTTTTCAGAAAAACATTTTATTTTCCCCTAGTAACTAAGGGAACCATTTGAAACTCTTTTTTGGGGGGAATCTGCAAATAAAAATAAATGTAGCAGGCTTTCTGTGTCTTTAAGAAAGCCAAAAATTCTTGCCAGTTCTATTACTATTTCACATTTTTTAAGTTAAGTAATGATTTGACTTGCATTTTTAACTTTACCAGTCAAAACATATCTCTTTCTCCCTTCAAACCATTGCTGAACTTGAGTAAATTCTCCTTTTTTGGTTTCTAAACATTTTTCGTTTTGAGTTCAATCAAAGGTCACTGTTTCCAGTGAGCCTCTCATTTCCTTTCATGTTGTGTGGTAGTCTGTCATTTTTTAGTGGTTTTGATGTGGTTCATCTTTGAGAGCCACAGGAATTCCACCCAGGGATCATTTGTCTCCTAGGAAGTAAAGAGCCGCTGGTACTCATTTGCTTCATTTTGCATGAATTATGAAAGAGGGAGATCTTTAATGAGGTAAATGATGAGCTTGTGACTTTCAGTGCATTAAAGTCACAATAAGGTTTTATGATTTTGGAAGTCAGTTTTAGTGTGTATGAAGTAGAAAGTAGACTTGAAATGAGACTTCATCTCATCCATCCTTCCATCCTTCCATCTGTCCACCCATTCCCTCATTCAGCCCTGTGAGAGTCATTGGATACATATTTAGACATTTTTCTGATTTTTTCTTTTTCTAATTAATTATATTGGAATAAAATCTAACAAAATCCTCAAAACACTCAAAACCAAGATTGACGGTTACTTTTGGGATATTGAGCCTGATAGCCTTGTTTTATTATTTGCTTAGGAAAAGGGGAAAAATTAAATGAATTTAGAGGCAGTTTCTTGTCTTACTCTATGAAATCTAAACCAAATATGAAAGTTAAGTGAGGTTTACATTAGAGGCGAGGAATGCTTTCATGCATGTGTGTGTGTGGATGTGCTGTATGTGTAAATACAAAGGAGTTGAAAATGTAAAATTTAATTTGAACAATGAGCTGTTTTGAAACCAGTTGATTGTTTATAGGAAAAATTGGTTGTATTGAACCAAATTAGTTGCTTGGGAATTAAATTTCTTTTTGCTATAGAATTCAGCTTTTCGCTCCTCTCCTTTTTCCTCTAAACAAGCCTGGTGCTTGGAAGCCTTTGCTAGGTTGCTGGTTTTGCCCATAGCAGAACGAATGCCCACTTTTGGAGTCTAGGTAGGGGTGTGTGGCTAGATTCTGTATCGCTGTGGGGAATCTTTAGCAATTCTCTCTGGCTGAAACACTCTAGGAGAGGATATCTGTCCTGATAGAGAAAAAGGTGTACCTTTTTCTCTGTGCCATGTTGAAAGTATGACTATAATAATAGCCAAGCAGTTCTCCCAACTGCCTGATTGGAATCGGTGGCCAGAGGAAGAGAAAGAAAAAGACTTTCCCCTATATCTGAGGTTTTCCAAACCCTGGGCTGGAAAGGGAGGACTCAGATAAATATTGGTCTTCTTGAACATTCTATTCACAGAAGGAGAATATTTAATACATCTTCTCATGGTATCTCATATGAAAATATTACAGAAGCTGGCATGATTGTGCTTCCTTCTTTAAGAAAAAGGAACCCGTTAGCGTATAGATAGATTTTAGCTTCTTAGATAATCTTTACACAATTAATGGAGTGAATTTGGGCTATTAGAAAGCCAGTCCGGGCAATTCAAAGGCCCCCAAATTTACTCTCTTCCTTCTGACTTCCCCTTGGGATCTATACTTCTAAGGATAGGAATCACATCTATTTGTGTATATCTATATTCAGCTTGTGGGGTTGGGCTTAGTCTGCTGTCAACAAAAACGTATATTACAAGCTACACAAATGCAATGAGATAGTTTAAAAGGTCTTTCAAATGGGTAAGACAAATCTTTTTTTCAGTTTAGATTTGAGTGCTTGTGTTAAAGAAAGTATATTTCTTCTCTGTGGGTATAGAGAGTAAGTTAGAAAATCACTCAGTATGAATAGAAGTCAGAAAAAAGTTGCTGGGTTGAAAATGACAAGGGTACCCCAGGTGGTACCCAAACACCAGACTGGCAATACAATGCCCTGTTTTGAATTCACTGATGGCTTTTGTGGTTAACAATTGGAACCCTCATTGTTATTTTTATGTCTGCCAACTTTAATGTGCCATCTCAACTTAAAGGAGGTTATGGAGTTACTTGTCTAGAACTGTGTTGTTCAGTACAGTAGGCACTGGCCGCATGTGGCCATTAAAATTAAAATTAAAATTAAAAATTCAGTTCTTCATCTCATTAGCCTCATGACATATGTTCCATGGCCCCATGTAGCCGGTGGCTACTCTATTTGGCAGTGCTAGTCTAGAGGTTTAAAAACATTTTTTAAGTCTTTATAGGCTGCTGCCTGCCTTTGTTTTGTTACTTTGTTTATAAAGAGGTGAAAAACTAAATGATATAGAAGCTATTTCTTATCTTATTCTATAAAATCTAAACCGATTTGAAGGTTAGACTGATTGGTACAGGATCATAAAGTCCTACCATTTTGATCCCTCACAACAAATATCATCACCACAAAACACTTGAATGGGTGAATTCTTTTACCCATTGGGATTTTGTGTTGGGATTTTGTGGTTGTGAAAAGCATGGCACAAACTCATACTTTTGTCTGATACTCCACTGAAGTCTAGCTGTATTCACCCCAGCAAGAGAAATTTCAGAGCTTCTTCAGGCTTTTGTAATGTAAATTGACCAAACTGAAAAAATAGATTGGAAAATTGAGGTGGGCATCACCCTGTTTCTCACCCCTGAATAGCGCAGGTTATTCAGTCATTCAATTAGCATACATTAAACAAATATTAGGTGCCTGGTACCGAGCTAAAACTTGAGTTTGCAGATATAAGACATGGCCCTTGTCTTCAAGGAACTCAGAGCCTGGAATGAGAAATAGACATGTAAAGAGATAATTATAATACAGTTAGGTAAGTATAACTATAGAATTATAACTACAAGAATTTTTGGACTTTAACGATTTATTTCTAGGTTTTTACATTGGAGTTCTTTTGTGTCCACTGCCTCCTGTTGAAAAAAATAAGGACCCAGCAGTTTGACACAAGGTTTTAGTTGGCTTGTTCTATAAATGCCAACCTGGAGGTTCAGATTGCCGAGGGAGCACAGCTGTGTATCAGAGTTTTTGGAGCTGGTTGGAAGCCAGAAGGGTGTGTATCTGGAAAGAACAGGCCTGCCCGCTGGCTTGGTGTGTGGTGGGTACGCCAGTCACGGCTCTCTCCGTGTCTCCACAGCTCTCTGCGCCATCGTGGCCACCATCTGGTTCCCTGTGTGTGCCCACCGTGAGACCACCATCGTGAGCTTTGGCTACTCCCTGTATGCAGGCTGGATTGGTGCTGTGCTGTGCCTTGTGGGTGGCTGTGTCATCATCTGCTGCGCCGGGGATGCCCAGGCATTTGGTGAAAACCGTTTCTACTATTCTTCGGGCTCCAGCTCCCCAACTCATGCCAAGAGTGCCCACGTATAAGAGGGCGGCCAGGCTGCCCATGGAGGTGCTGTCGATACTGGGCCTATGGCCCTAGGTTTGCTTGCCACAGTGGGGGAAAGCCCACTCCTCTGCCAGGCTCTAAAGCCAAAGGTCTAGAAAAGCATCCTGTCTGGCATTTCGTAGTCTTAACTCCCTCCCCCCATCTTTTGGTTGCCTTAAAAGAAATCTCTAGCTCATATAATGCCCTCACATATTTCTCATGGCACTGCCCACTATTAGCTCTTTTCTTGGGCATTCCTTTGTTGTTTATTAAAAAGATTATGTATATATATTTTGTTTCTCTCTAAATTTCAAATGTCTTGCAAACATTGCTGAGTTGGGTGGGGGTGGGGAAGAGAAATAAAAGACACTTTTCAAACTGTTACAGATGACAATGGGAGCCTCATAAAGATGCCTCTCTGTTTCCTCCCTCCTCTTCAGTTCCAGAGTCATTTACTTTCAGGAGATACAAAAAGATAGAATTGGGCCCATGGGGTGGGAGAGGGAGGGGAATCCTTGGAACTTTCTCTCCATGGGAAAGTTTCTCTTTTGTAAGTTGAGGGCAAGGGTGGGGATATTTTTTAGTTTGTGATTTTACATTTTATCTGTACATACTTTTTCAAGATCATTTTTATAACCATGGTTTTCCTGAAATTCTCAATTCATCAGTATGAAGGAAATGTACCAACTAGACTTCAATTATGCAATAGATAACAGTGAGTATAACTTTAACAGACATTCCACAAAATATTTTTGATTTTCAGATTTGTATGATATAGTTTTTAATACTAGATTTTCCTATGCTTCAACTTACATTTTTAAAGCTTTTTTCCCTTTCTCTCTCTATTTTCATTCTGTTTGCCATCTTGAAGTGATGTTGTTTAACATAAATTGTACTGTTGAATTTGGCTTTACGGGTGTAAACACTGATGGTATATCAGTATCTGAGACCCCAAACTCTCCAAACACTGATGGTGCATTTTGTTCTTTAAGTGAAATCTGTGCAATAAAATAACAGACTGTCTGCAAAACTGGCCTTTAATCTTCTGTTGTATCCAGAGGTATCATTATTGATTTTAAAAAATCTTGTTCATCTCTACTGGTAATTTACAGGGACCCTGATCAGAGATTCAAGACCTAGTCATTCTGCATTGCCCTGAATAATTAAAAGGTTGTATTTTATTCATGATATCATGTTGATAATATGTAGTCATAAAAATGTAACCTAGATGCTCTCTGGGTTTCTTAAATGGAGTGACTTTATGGCATCATTAATTCATAGATAAATGGGCAGCAATCAGAAACCAAGTTCTAAGTACTATGCAGTTAAACTCCTTTGTCTGCTTTGAACACTTAATAAAGGAATTGGGTAGGTATAAATGGAGAATTAAACCTATTTCATGGGTTCTTTAAGTAGTAATGTCTAAACACATTTTGTGCAAACATATACATGTAGATGTTTGCAAATTTTGGACAAAGACACGCTAAACTGATTGTTATTTGTTTTCCATCCCCAAAAGTCTGTCCAGTTATGGGCTTGGCCAGGCGTGGTGGCTCACACTGGTAATCCTAGTACTTTGGGAGGCAGAGGTGGGAGGATTGCTTGAGGCCAGGAGTTCAAGACCAGCCTGAGCAAGAGTGAGACCCTGTCTTTATAAAAAATAGAAAAAATTACTGAGGCCTGGTGGCACTTGCCTGTAGTTCCTGCTACTCAGGAGGCTGAGATCACTTGAGCCCAGAAGTTTGAGATTGCAGTGAGTGATGATGATGTGACTTCACTCTAGCCGGGCAACAGAGTGAGACCCTGTCTCATCCCCTCTGCTCCCTACCCCCAAAAGTTATGGGCTTGCTCTAACAAAACAGATTATAATCTATTTTGGCAGACTTTTTCCAAATAAAATACTAATTTCATTAGCTGATAATATAATAATTGGCAAACATTTCCTCTTTGGAAATATCCATTTGGGCTGCTCATTTTGCAGAATTTTGCATACATTAGATTATAACCTGGTGGAAACTATTTCTAAATTACTTATATAGAAAAGATTATCTTTATTGACTAAAATATTTGCTAAGCTATAATATAGTTTTTCTAAGGATATAAGTCATGTGATTATGTTGGAGGACCCTTCCTACCTCACTGAACTTGTCGGGCACAATGACTGTGAACATGAATGGAGCAGAAAGCTCCGCTCCACTGGGAGGAGTGGACAAGCAAGGCTTCAGGTCTCCATGTTCCCTGTCCTCACAACACCAGCTTGAATCCGAAGCACGTTCAGGTAGTTCTCTTCTTTTATGGACACATTTACTCACCTAGTTCCATCCCTAAGGCTGCCGCTTGCTTTCTGTCATGATGGGGTGTGCTGCACGAGCCCACTTTTCCCTGCAGCGTGAGAAAAAAGACCCCAAATTTCTCCAAGCTGACTGTTGCCTGACAATCAGGGAATCCCATTTTTGTAGGTCATAACTCCAGTGTTAGAGTTTATCAGTTTGAGGGAAGAGAAGGAGATGTTCCTCTAGAACAGCACTGTACAATGGGAATATAATGTGAGCCACATGTGTAATTTAAAATTTTCTAGTAGCCATATTAAAAAAGTGAAAAATAAATAAGTGAAATTAATTTTAACATATTTTATTTGATCTAGTACATCCAATATATTATCATTTCAATATGTGATCAATTGACAGGATATTTCATGTCCTTCTTTTTGTATTACATCTTTGGATTCCAGTATGTATTTGACCGGCACATCTTAATTTGCACTAGGCATGTTTCAAGTGCCCAAAAGCCACGTGTGGCTGGAGGCTTTTGGATTGGACAGCACGGCTGTAGAACAGCAGGTTCTGTCTCAGTAATTATCAAGAGGGATTCAGTCTTGGTTATTTTTATTAATATTTGCCCCCAATAGAGTTCCATTAGAACTTGGCAATTACAATTTATTGAACAGTTACAAGATCTTCACCCAGATGAAGACAGTGACCGCCAATCGCACGTGAAATGGCAGACCTAGAGTACTCCGCCTACGTAACGGAGAAAAGGGAATTCATGCTATTGAGAGCTTTTGTGTCAGGAACGTCGTACGTTTAATCCTCCCTGCACTCCCATTTTGTAGATGAGAAAAATGAGATGCAGAGAATTTAGGTTGTTTGTCAAGGTCATATAGCCACTATATAGAACTAAAAGGGATTTATGTCTATGTAATTCTAAAGCCCTAGTTTTCTGATTTAAGAATCACTGCTACAGAATCAGGTAAATTGGAGATTCACTCTTCACCCCAGACACGAACTCAGTAGATATGGGTTGAGCGCCAAGAATCTAAATTTTTATTGTGTACCCCAGCAATTCTGGTGAGGTGGTCCCCACACCACACTTGGAGAAACAGCGCACAGACGGGCTTCTTTCTCATGCCTTTCTGCAGGGCAGCTAATGTCATCCCTCTCTGATGGTCATCGGAGCTGAAATGGTTGTGAGCCTTATATCAAGCTTCACCCCCTCTCTTTAGCTTACTCTGAAGAGACCCCATGCAGGGGATCTTTGGTTTGAAAGTGAACCAGTCTAGCTCACACTTTCCAAGAATATGATAGAAACCAAATTAGAGGAAAGAACGTTTCAAGGGAATCTCTGAATCTAGGGATGTTAGATACAATGACAGCAACAAAAAGAGAAGATTGTGTACTTCAAGAATACAATTTACATATTTGTGGTGAATTGGTGGTTTGGGGTGACAATAGAACAAGGTTTGGTTGTATTTCGCCCTGTTTTTTTTTTTTTAATTAAAAGAAAATCTGCGTGTCAGTGTTTCTCTATACAATGTACACAATGTGAACTGCAGCATCTTAAATGTTTGGCAGGACACTCATGCTCATGACATCACATGCTGGGAGGACAGGGAGGCCACTGTGGGACTGGCCCTGGGGACAGGCAGCATCAGTGCTGCCATTGAGATAGCCCCACAAAAGAGTGTGTGACAGCCAGATGTGCAGCTTAATGGAGACTGAACCAGGATTGTGGGTGGAACATTGGCACATGCTGCTTATGGCTTGAATAGCAGCTCTTGAGGAATCTATATTTCTCTACCTCACGCAGAATCTCAGAGCTCAGAGCTGCGGCCGGGGGAGGGAGTGGAGATGGAGGGACTTGTCACTGCTCCATGCCCCATTGTTAAAATGCAAAATGTGGAAATGTTAAGCCATTTCTAGAGTATTGTGGAAGGTAAAAATTTCTTACTGCTTACATCCAAATTACATTCCAAAGAGCATCTGATTGTTACAGTTGGGGACTTTCTTTAATTAAAACAATTATGTCTCTATTTCTCTTAGGTTATACAGCTGTGCTTTTAAAACTGTAATGTGCATACGGATCACTTGGGGATCTTATTAAAATGCAGATTCTGAATCAGCAGATGTGGGCTGGGGCCTGAGATTCTGCATTTGTAAGAAGCTCTTAGGGGACGCTGGCGCTGCTGGTCCTAGACTCACACCTTGAATAACCAGCCGCCGGAGTTCATGTCCTCCGGAAGCACAGGCCATGCTTAGACACATACAGTGTAAGTGGTGCCTCTTTTGTGGAAGATACTGGGAATGCTTCTTTGCCCTTCAAGATAATTCTGGAACCTCTCTGGTCAATAGTACTGGTGTCATGCTTTTGGTTTCAGGTTTCGTTCCTCATTAAAATATAAACATCCAGTGGTATGCCTGAGCCCACTAGTGCTGGCTCATGAAAGCCGACAGTTTTCAGGAATTTTGTGAACCAGTTGATGTCAAGCTGGTAGCTTGATAACAGCCATGGTAGGACATTTATACCACAGAAATGACAAAACACCACAAATCAGGTATTTCTCCAACACTCCCCTGTCCAGCCAGTTGTTAAACATTTGCCAGCCCACCACTGTTCAGCTCTTAGAGAACCATGCATTCAGCTGTATCGGTCCTTGACACCTTACTTGCAAAAGACTATGAAATTCCTCCCTTTCCTGAGAAGAAGTTCACATAAGGGAAGGTGGGGAGAGCAAGGAGTATATTGGGTAACTGTGGGGAAAGAGATGAGCCAGCCGCAGTCTCGTGCAACTGTGTGAGTGCTCATCCCCTTGTCCTGCATCTGAGACCTTGGCAGTCCAGGCAGAGAAAGGGCTACTTCTTTACCTTTCAGCCTGGTTTTCAGGCTTAGATTGATGGTAAAACTGGCTTATATATAAAATACAAGGCTGCCAGATTAGTGCCTAGGGCCACCACTGTCTTCTTTGAACGCTTATACTTGTTGGTCTCACTAATCTGGCTTCTAAAAGTTTCCTGGCCAAGTTAGTTTTTAAAAGTCACATTTTTGCTGATTGTAAAAATAGTCATACCATAATAGAGGATGCTTATTGAGAGC